GTAAGTCTTTTTCAACTGTGTCATGTCAAGTCTTAAGTCATTTGACTCATTTGACTTGAGTCCACACCTGTGTCCCTGACTAACCTGTAACACTGCATGCTAATAATATGCTAATTCAAGACTTTGGAAGTGATGCTGGGCTATCTCAAATTTGAGCAGACAAAAACAATGTGTAATTCATTCCTTACACTTCTGCTCCAGTGTTCAGTTTTGGATGAGTGATAAAGACAGACACCACCCTCTAAACCAGACCTGGGCAAATTACGGCCTGCGGGCCACATCCGGCCCTTTATACGCCCCTGTCCGGCCCGCGAGGCCAATTATGAAGAACATAAATAAGATAAACGTGTCTTTTTTACTTTTATTTAAAAATGTTAATTTTATTTTGAAAAGCGTTACTTTACTTTTGTAAGAACATATGCGCGTGCGCGTGCGCGTGCGAAGGTTAACGGTCACAAGTGATGCTCGCTCGGTCACCTCAAGATGTCAGCTTCACGCTAAGAAAAGAAAGTTGATAACGAAGCGCGTGTTTTTCACAAGAAATGGACTGCAAATTACTTCTTTAAGAGAAGTTAAAGGTAAAGGCAGTTGTCTTAATCTGTGGTACACAGGTCGCTGTGTTTTAAAAGATTACAATTTGTTTATTGTTTTTCATTGTTTCTGGAGATTAATAAGTTAAACATGAATTGGCACTGAATTCAGTAATTTTTTTTGTTATTTGACCTACATCACAATTTCACATAACCTAATATTAAAATATTACAGAGATTTACAGATAATTCTTATTATCATCAGCAACAGCTATTCAAAATATTTAATTTAGAGCATTTTAAAATGTAAGAAAAGTTAGCGGCCCTCTGACACAATTCAGGTTTCTCAATGTGGCCCCTGGTAAAAATCAACATTGCCACACGCCTGGCTCCACGAACCCTTTCAAATGCTGAGTATTCTTACTCCAAAGACTGACACTGCTGTTATGGCCATTTTTGTATTTTAATACAGCTGAATATCCCGTAAAGCTGTTCTCATGTTTTTACATGTTTTTCTGTTTCTGTGATCAGACAATGGAACAAGTATGAAACAGTGACAAATGCGGCCCATTAAGACTACCTTTTAACTTCCAAGCCATTTCCAAGCTGCTGCTCTGCTGCTGCTAAAATCTTGATTTCATAACCGCGACATCCTCTGACAAAAATCACCAAACACATAAGTTAAAGACACAGACTCTGCGATGATTTTGACAATATTTACTTGTAAAATGATCACAGAGAGAGAAAGGTAGAGGCTCATTCACGTCAGCAGCCACGTGGTCGTCGTAGAGAGGTGTGTCTGCTACCTTATGCTAGCAGGTAGCAGGGCGATTTTCTTTTACAAAAAGTAGCAAAGGTTTGTCCAAAAAGTCGATAGGTACTTTTTGAAAAATAGTCGCTAAATGGGTTTGAAAGGTCAGTAAGTCTAGCAACAAAAGGAAGCTAAGTTGTCAACACTGCTTGTTAACACCAAATCAATTGTGAAGAGCATATACAAATGGTGAAACTCCAACTGTTAGCTGGCTGACCAGTAGTGTAACCTTATTACTCAGTCACGCGGTATTCAGCTGAATAACGGTGTAACTTGATCGCTCAGTCAGTCAGCGACATTCGCGTTTATAGGGCTGGCCCCACTGTTTTGGTCAAGCCAAAAAGTGATGGCACATGGATTGTGTTTTGGGCCACATTTCCACTTTAACTAGCTCAGTCAGCCATTCCTGTAGTTATATGGGCTATTAGGTTTTATTTAGTCTCTAGGTGGTTATAGACATATTCTGGTGTTGTCTTGTGATTTCTGCAGCAAACCTTAATAGGCTTCAGATGTCTGGCTGTGACACACGACAAACACAAACAGGCAGCACAGATTAAGACCAACGGAGTGGTGCAGATAGCAGAGAAAGAAAAATAAAGGGACGGAGTAGATAGAGAGAAGTGGAAAGGAATGGAAATGTATGGACAGTGGAAAAAGTCACAGCCTGGAAAGAAGAGCAAGAGGAGAGACAAGATGTTGACAGAGGGGTGCTGATCCTCTGAGGTCCTTACACTAGCGAAGACTCTACCCTAAAAAATATTTAACTTATGGGGGTGGCATCTGCCCAGGAATTCAGCATACTTAAGTGTTGCACAAAAACTTAAACCTCAGTGATGTGTAGTTCCCTGTGTCAGTAATGAGCATGCATAGAGTTGAACACGAGGAAATGAGTGGATTCAGGGCTGGTCGGGACTCTGTAAACCACAAGCCCTATTTCATAATGTCAAGGTCATCTTAAGTAGCAACACACCTCTCCTCAGGCGACATACCAGTCTGGCTCAAGATTTTATTCCCATATCTTCTGAACTCTTAAAAACTACACGGTACTTTTTTATGGAAAACCTCTTCTTTAGCAAGAAACAGTAGTTTTGTAGAGATTTTCAACCATGTGTCATTTTGAGCTTTCACGACTCATTACGTGATCAAATTTCATTGATTGGCTCTACATTTCTGAGTTAAGCAACTTAAAACCTGAACATGGTTGTTTCTCTTGTGGTTGTTCCCTGAACATCCCTCCAAGACATATATTAAGAGGCATTGCTCAACAAGACTAATGGGAATATCTAAGCCTGCCACAAATTACCGTCAGTCAGGCAAAGGACTGTGTCCCTGTGGTTTTTCAATTCAGCGTCACTTACTAAAGCTGCAGATGTACATGAGCCCAGCCACACTTTGGTTAACTTACATAACATGGCACTGTAAGACCTGATTCTGAGCTGTTTTCTCTATTGCCTGGCACACATGGATGGTGATAGTGAAGGTTAGACCACTGCAGAGTAGTGAAGATTATTGTTGCATTGACTCCTGCTCCTTGTTCCATCGACATTGTGTCCTTCCCAAGGCTTTGCTAACCAGGCAAAGTGGGCAGCTCTGGGGGGAGTGTTGTCGTCTTCCACTTCAGTTGTGGAAGTTTGAAAGATGTGGGGTCATACCAAGTAGGGAGTGTCAAGTGAAAGATGATATGGAGTTGCATTGTGGGAAGTGGAGGATCCAGGATTTTTTGAGCAAAGAACTAACTATAAATCAGGATATCTTATAAGTTTCTTCTGCTTCAGTCTTTTTTAATCTCCCCCAAACCCCCCAGCTTTATGGAGGTGTGAAACTAAACCACTGGGGCGCTGCTTTAAGCAAGAGAAGATCCCATTACGTCCCAGTGAAGTGTTAGTACTCAAAAAGGTAAAATTCTGCTCTACCTTCTGCTAAGAACGCACCTTGAAGGTTCACGATCACATTATTATGAGTTCTTCAAGAAACCATCTGCAGACTGACTTTGGTTCCAAACTTAAAGACGCCTAAACCAGGGAGTGGCAACTAAAATCATCTAAATCTTAGATTACACCAGTTTTCATTACAACCATGGCGTTACATAACTCGTCCAGCACTCTTAAAGGATCTATTGTTAATGAAAAGGGTTTTAAACATGTCTTTAGCACATACAGCTGCAAAAAACAAACTGTACCACATTATCCAGGTCACAGACCTTTGGATCTGATGGCCAGGAGCTACATCAAGTTACTATGTGTTCATTGTTGGCCATTTGCCCCAGTACCATCTGTCCACATTCGATTAACGTGCTGTCTTACACAACATGTGAATCGCGTAAGATGATTTCAGCTCAGTTGACTCAGAAGTGAAGAGCTGTAACACACAGTAGTGACACTCACTCTGGCCTGTTGCCAGAGCTGACAGGGGGAGAGAAACCTTCAAAAAGGTTCCATGTAATCCAACAATGCCTTTGTTATCCTACAGGTTCACACAGGTGTAGCAAGGAATCTCAAAACCCCTGGCAGTGAGATCCAACAAACACATTCCAGATTTTCCATATGCAATAAAACCTAAAAATCCCTGTGTTGTACAGAACTGCATTCCTGAATGTATAAGTGAGCTCTCCATAGAGCACACACAGTTACATTTGCTGAAAAGCAATTATTTGCTGGTCGAGTATGTTTTTCTTTTTTATATTTAAGTGTTACAATTGTTCATAAAAGATGAATCAATACTTTGGAGTAACTTTGTGTTTAGTGTGTGGAGTTTAAAACCAACGAAAGGCAGTAAAGCGATTATCAGATGAGTCAAAAATGTAACTGGAATACAAAAGTTAGTTCATTTAACTAATTAAAATGTGATAACACACGCACACACACACACACACACACACACACACACACACACACACACACACACACAGACTCCCAGCCCGGGCCAATCCCTGGAGATACGTGGACACACCCATCTCATTGTCATGGTGGAAACAAGGAATAGGAAAATGATTACACAAGTGCTACAAACAAAAAGAAAAAACTTGGAAAATAAAATGATCAAGACAAAGAGGATTTTTTCTGTGTTTTAAAACCAACATATTAGAAGTTAAAGGGAAGGGTTTACACTTCTGTTTACACAGCATTTTTGTTACTTACCCATATTATTTATTGATTTAACTCTTATATTTTTGACTTGTAGTATTCAGGCTACACAATCATGAACCCTGACTGTAGTCCATAAACTTGCAATGTAAACTTATGCTGGAAAAATAACACTGACGTGAGGGGCAAGTCTCCAGTATCCTTAAGTATCTACTGTAAATTAAACCATTCTTCAATGCACGATGGATGTGGAAAAAGCTGCATCAAAATTCATCAATTAATTATTTATTATTTACAATGCCATACAAGATTTTTTTTTACCAACAGAAGTTAAATAACAACATATACATGCTTAGAGATACACTTAATGTCATTTATTAAGAATACCAAATTGGTGATATTTTATAATTAAAAACACTCTAGATGGTGTAAAACAGAGTCTGCAGCAACTTATATCCAAGCTCTATTTTGCCAGAAAGTAGCACCTCATCCATCAAGGAGCAAACTCTTTATATCTCTATTTCTTATTTGAAGATTAACTGGAGCTACAGAGACATATATTGAAGTTGGATTTACCTTGGTACTGGTGGAACAACATCAGAGTCGTGGCAAGGAACCAAAAGTAAGTGAAGTCCATCCTGCTCGCCTCGTCAGTGTCCAGGTGAGAAATCTGCCGAAAGCACCTCAGCGTTCACGTAAAATTCCTGACAGCAGCTCCCTTCTTCCAGTCGTAAAAAAAACAGCAGAGAAAAAAACAAAGATATTTACAACACCTTTCAGTCACAAAGCAGGAAAAAAAGGGTCCTGCTGAATCAAACACCTGAGCCTTTAAATGTTCCCATTTAACAGTAAAAAGAAGAAATATATTCAATTTGATCCAGTCAGGTCAACGCTGAAATCTGCAACTGTTGCCACCCAGGTGCAGCGCTGGATAACCCCTGGTTCAGAATGTGGAGCTGTATCCTGAGGGGCTCCGAGGCTGCTGTGGTCTCCAGACAGAGGGAGGACAATGTGATGGATTGGGTACACGGTTGTATTGAGCTGTATCACAACAGATGGAGAGGAGTGAACGGCAGGAGAGAAGGACGAGGAGGACGCGGAGGACGCGGAGGAGGAGGAGGAGGAGGAGGAGGACACACGGGGGAGGCTGGATCTGTAGTGAGACACCTCCGCAGCCTGAACTTCATTAATCACAGCCTCCTCTGCACATGGTTGACCTGTGTCATGCTCTCTTACTTGTTCTGTCACACTGTGGTCTCTCTCATTTCATCTCAGTCAGTCTCCCTCTCTTTCCCCGTTCCCCTTTTAATCACTCTTCGCTCTCTCTTCCTCCCGGGGATCTCCTCACAGAGTCCACCAGATGTGGAACAGCCCAGTCCGCTTTGTGTGCACACATCTTTATCCATGTGTATCTGTGAGGCAACAAATGTGTCATCCTGCCACTGTAGAAAATATTGCCACTGCGCAAATGAGTCACAGACCAACTTCAATAACCACAGGAAAAAAAGATGGCGTGATCTAGGATAGATTTGTTTCCAAATTTATGCTGCTGTAACATATTACATTATTTAATATTTGTACCATGTATATAACTTATCTTGAGAAAAAACAATGCTCTGGTTTCTTGAGGTTAAATGACACTATTTGAATGAGCTGATTGATCGAGGAAAGACTCTGGAGAATAAAATCAAAAAGAGGTCTCAACAATGCACTGGCCCTGCTGCTGCACCAAAAAACTTAACTTTAAGAAAATTTTCTACATAATCTAGCGGGTGAAATGCCATTAAATTGACATGGGGGATTCATTCTTTCAAAAGGATAAAAACAAATTTGAGATTTGACACCATAACCTTTGATCCAGCACCAAACTCTGGATGAAATTATAATTTTTTGTAGGACTAGTGGAAACATTAGCTAAATTTTGTGTCATTTTGTTAACTCAAATTTTTCAGTCAGTTATTGCAGGTTATTTTCTGATGGAGGAAGATTTGTTTATGCCTTAGCCAATCGCAGCGAATGACGTATCCGGCTGCTCTACATAAACATTAGCGTCAACCCTGAGGCTGTGTTAGCCAGTGCACACTTAGCAAAAGGTGAGTTTACAGCGATATTAAAACTGCATTTATGCAAAGGCATGTATGTAAAACACAACAAGAAGCAAATTCAAAGATTTCCTCCATGAAATTCATTATTTACTTCATGAGGACACGTCAGAAGTCATTGTAAGTAGCCACTGTTAGCTAGCTGCTAAAGTTAGCTAAATTGTAAGCTACCGTTACTCCTGCTCCCAAATAAGTTTCATATTTCCAAAGACTATTCTGAATTAAATGTCACCACCTTTACAGCTGGGTGGTGAGCTACAAGAATGGACCAGTGTCGAGCGATGTAAATAAACCGTGAGTGGTTGAGTAGTTACCAATTGTAATTTGTGCGCTGCTGCACAGGTAAAACTTAATGGGAAATGGAGGTTTCTGTCCACTAACAAATACACTGTTAAATTCCCTAAAGGTTTGATTCTTAATAATGCTGTTTGTCTTGGAATATAGACGGTAAACCCAAGAACACTTTTCATGCCTCAGCTCAACAAGAGATCGTATTGAGTTACAGAAACCAGTGAAATGGCAGCTAGCCTGAGAGTGATGTGAGCACTGTAGTTTAAAATATCATGACCAATGATTCAGAGCACTGGGCTGACATTAGATGACTGCGGCGGCGTCCAGGTGCAAATCTGTGTTTGCTCATTCAGCCGTAACCGGAGAAGTTAAAGAGAGGATACAGAGGTGAATTAACAGGGTTTAATATTTCTGTCCTCCATCTATCATCTATCAAAAGTGTGCTGTTTTCAGCTTTCCTACTACTTTGGCAGATTATACTCTCAGAGTATTTGTTTTGGAGTGAATTGCTGAGGAGCTGCCTGCACTGTTTAAGAGACTATTTTGAGGTCATCTGGAACATACTGTACACTGAACAGGGAAATGACACAGCCACAAAAGGAGGCCTGCTGTTCCTGTCTGTCTTTTTTATCTCTCTCTGGGACCAGTCTCGCTGTCTTTCTGCCAGCCTAACCAAGGAGAGGCCTTTGCGGTAAACCATTCATAAGGAAATTAACGAGGACAATCTAAACATCTGGGAGGCAGATACTATGGTGAGCTCCAGAAAAGAGCCTTTTGGTTGGGTTTCCCCAAAATTGCTCCACCAGATCTCGTGAAATTTCCTGAAATGAGCACAGTGTCCTGAAATGCAAATAGCAAGCTCTGTGCGGAGGAAGTGAGTTTAACCGCCATGAAAGGACGAGGCACAGCACAAACCGACAGTAATTTACACTGGAACTGCATTTTACCTTTAATTTCTTATGACATGGATTTTTATGACCCAGGTTCAGTTCCCAGCTTGTAAGGAAGTGGTACTTTTTAATCTCATTTACTACTAACACCTTTCGGGAAATACTCTAATTTGCTTTCTTTCTGAGAGTGAGATGTTTATTAATCTCATGTCTGTGTGTTAAGTAAAGAGCGGGACTCAGGATGTGGTTAGCTTAGCTTAGCATAAAGACGGGAAGCAGGGTGAAAGAGCTAGCCTGGCTCTGTCATCTCACACCTCTCAAGCTCACAGATAAACACATCACATTTTATTTGTTTAATCTGTACATGAACGGAAATGTTACTGCACAGACGTACTGGGTGGATGGATAAACTGTTGTTTGTCGGGATGTAGTTCGAGCATGTGTCTTCAGTTTTTGCGTTGGTGATGTTTTGTTGCAGGACTACATGACACCAAACTTGGCCTCTCTGGGAAGACGAGCAGAGTCGCGCCTATCAACCAGTCCTATCGCCAGATAAGAAAGTCTATATTGAGCAGCTGAGCAAAATCAGGGATTATGCCCTGAGCTAATGGTTCCTATAATATCTGCATATAGCACCTGCTGCCAGATCCGCTACAGATCCATCCAATTTGCGCATTGGCGTCAAAAGCCATCTTAATGCGTCCGGACGTCATAAATTGACATTTTTAAATTCCTGTTTGTGTACAAGTTAAATAGTTGAATTACATGTTTAACAGGGAGGTTGAGAGGTGTTGGTAGGTGTATTTTCTAATGCTTTATGCTAAGCCAGGCTAACCACGTCCTTACTACAGCAAGACATGAACCTGTGCTTTTTCATTACAATGTGAAAATGTGTAGTTTTTTTTAAGGCACAAATTCAACAAAATGGCCCACCTAGTTGTCTTCCTGTCACACAACTCTTTCACATCAGTTCGTGTCATCAAAAACTTGACAAATGTTAGAGATATACTTCCATAACAACACCCTTACTGTCGAGACAGACTTGTGCATGATTTACATTTCTATGAATTATCTGTGATCTCTATACATTTTAATTTCTTTCAGTGGGCAATTTAGAATGTGTGTGTGTTTCTGTGTTTGTGCGAGTGTCTGCTTGTCATTTGGCTGGCTGGCTGAGTTCTCATCAGGTCTTCAGGTGGGATAATTAGAGAGCAGAGGGAAACTGGAAACAACAGCCTGTCACTCCCATTGCCTCGAGACACAGTGCAATTACAGAGGCGGAGGTGAGATAATGGGTACGAGGTGGAGAAAGAGGGGAGGAGAGAGGAGGGCAATGAGGAGAGGTTAAGTTAAAGAGGAATAGGTAGTAAGAGAGAAAGGGAAAAGAAAACAATTGTAATGAAAAAAAAAAAAATTCATGAATGTATTTAAATTAACGTTAACAGAAAAGAAAAAAAACAACAGATCCACCAAATAAAATCTAGACTGTGTTTCATCAGTTTAGTGGAAGCAACATCTCAACATACTTAGAGAAAGGAAAGAGGAGGATTCAGGATTCAACTGAAAAGGTATCAGAGCACAGCACAACCCACATTAAAAACAGCTGAACCTATGGAGTGCATAACAATGCACTGGAAAGTTCAAGTATCAAATATAGTTGATCAAAAGCAGTGGTAAAGCCATTTCTACCCTCTTCCATCTGTGCTGACATGCAAACAGAGTGGTTTCCATTTCCCCCTTGGTCAGTGTTTGAACTCCAGCCAGCAGCTGATTGGTCTGCAGAGCCAACATACCATATGGGCATGTTTGACTTTTTAGGAATTAAAGAATTCAATTTCATGTGTTTACTATATATTCTCAAACACATACATTCAAACTTTAATGGTTTCTTATACAGCAGCAGCCTTTTCTCTTGTACAAGTGAAGCATGCAGCAACATGTAAAAGCCACATTGGTTTATGCTGTCTATCAGTCAGAATCGTCTCTGACATGAACATTTTTCAGGCTTCAGTCATTCTGAGCTAATCATCTGTGACAGATGTGATTTTCTGGTCTGTTTGACAGATTTTATTTCTGCAGTAAAGATGTGTGAGACGCAGTGAACATGTTTCACTTGTCATGATGTGGCAGCAAACGCTCCACCAGCCTTCAGAGACTCCTGAATTGAAATTACAAAACACTTCCAGTGCTGACTGACTATGAAATAGGTGTGTGCAATCATATAACATCAATATCCATGATCTGGCCCAACTCACAAATCTCTGCGTCCTGTATCCGTTTTGATTTTATTCTGAAAATCCTGACCAGAAGCTGTGATTTGTATGTGTCTGACGCTGTTCTTCGCCCCGTCTCGTGTTTTCCTGTCGCAGATGGATTGCGATTCCACCATATTGGACTGCAGCTGGTGACGGTGGTTCTTCTTCTGCTCCAGTGGA